TAGCAGCACTTACGTTTCAGGTTCTACAGCCTGGTCAGCAGATTTATCTTTAACAGCATAATCTCAAATCTACATTTAAATACTACTTTATTTTATAAGGTAATATAGTCACTTTCATTGTCACTAGCTTTATTTTTACCAGTGTAAACATTTTTTGGAAAGGGTGGATTTAGAGGCGAGATTCTGAATCCATTTTGAATGTATTTGTTTCTTGGCCTTCTTTAACTCCCCAACTCAACTCCCTTTCTAGATCCCATTCATTTTCTGCACCTCCCCCATAGGCTTCTCTCCATTACTCTTAATTGTAAAAGGCCATACCTGGAATTTTAAAAATATCATTCCTGGTAATACAGCTCAGTGTCATTTTCATATTTTTAAAACATGCTCTACATGCCTAATATTTTGTAATTCACTTCAACCTGATGGTTAGCATTTGCTGTTTTTCACTCAATGTCAGAGCAGTTGGGTTTTATCCCTTAGTTTTTATGCCTGTTGAGCTTTATTGTGCTTTTGACAGGAGTTTTGGGTCAGTTAACATTTAGTTTTAGTCTTGTATTCCAAGTTAGTAACTCTACCGTATTTCACATTTCTAAATTTAAGAGATGCTGTAGCTTAAAATCTGTTTTGATAAGTACTTACACTGGACCTAGGCAAAACCACTGAAGAACAAGTGTTCCTTTTTACCACATACATATGTTTTCATCACTGCTGCTTGAGCCCTCCTATTGGTATAATTCACATCATTTTTTAGCTTGTTTCTGAGGATGTCACACATAAAATGAGATCAAACCTGAAAGTAAGACACTTAATGGTTCGCCATCCTCTATAAGGCCAACAAGGAAAACAAATTCCTGTTATGTGGCTTGCATTTAGGCGCACTGTGCATAGGTTTCCCAATAATATTGTAATGTTGTTGAACACCTTTCCCTTATTTTCATATATACACATCTTAAAGTAGTACTGGGAAAGATGGCAAAGCTTTTTAGAATATAAACAGACCTGTTTTGTTTTTCTTAAGTTCAACATACTTTTGCATAATTTTGTAAAATAAATGTTCATATCATAATTTAGAATTTATAGCCAAGGATCCTCAAGACAGAAGTTTCATCTTAGGATAGTGCTTGATATATCCAAGAAAAAGTCCAGTAACAGAAGAAATGTCTCATCAGTTTTAGTGTTTTTCAATATTAGGGAAAGGTAATATAAAAACAGGTAAAATGTCTAAAAACAGACCTGATCAACATCATAGGAGATGAATATTCATTATATAGCATAGGATATCATTACTTGAATGTTCTCAGGGAGGCAGCAAGTCAGAAGGCCTAGGATCTAGTCCTAGCTCCATCATTTACCAACTGTGTGACCTTACTTCACCTGTTAGCCTTGTTCTCCTTACTAATAGTAGGAAAATAACACCTAACCTGCCTACCTCACAGGGCTGTTGTGAGGGTTCAATTGGTATGTGAAAGTTATTTCAAAATTGTAAAATGCTATATGACTATAAAGAATTATTAATGTATTTGTTCCAAGGTTATTAATAAAAATTTGAGCTTATCAGTGCTCTTTCATTTTTACTTAAAGATTCAAGGGAGATGAACAAAGCACAGTAATTCTGATGGCCAAACGCCATTAAGATTTGTATAATGGTTAATTATATATCAGGAAATCACTTGCTTTTATACTGGAATCAGCATGTGACACATCATAGTGAAGCAAATTGAAAATGAGTAAAAGATGGAATTAAATCTGTTGTCCTTCAGCTTCTAGGTGTAATTTTTAAAAAGAGGTACTTATGGTAAATGAATGGGGTAAGGACACTGTTATCTCCAGTTCTTCCTTTTACGGGTAGCAAACAAGTGTCTATGATCAGAGTACGAATATAGGAATATAGCCAGCATGGGACATGGGGGGAGAATGGAAGATGTGATGCACACTATGGTCTAAGGAATCCAAAGTGACAGGAAATAAGAGGTAGAAAACAAAACACTAATCAGAACTATACAACAGAAGGTATGCTACCATTTACATTTTAATATCTTTATATACAAATACATGGGTATACTCTTAATTGTATAAAGTAGCCTTAGATTGAAGAAAACTGGTCTTCAGAGGTTGCTTCTGGGGAGAGAAGGTAAAATATGTATCTTGCATGTAGCTAGGGGACTGATTAAGGAGTCTTCACTGTATACTCCTGTTTGATCATGTGTAAACCCCTGTGCTAGAGGGAAATTTAGGAAATGAAGAAAACAGGAAAACACTGAGCTAAAGAACAGACTGAATTGTTCACTTACAACATAGGAATTATTTTTTTTCCTGCATATAAATACACACATACATATAATCTACGGTTAAAGGTGAACTTACAACTCACAGCATATACCTTTGCAGTATTTTACCAGTAATTCATAATTCTAAATTAAATCAGCGCATCCTTACACTGTTTTGTGGGGTGGTTTCTGAGACAAGTCTCGCTCTGTCACCCAGGCTAAAGTGCAATGGCGTGATCTCAGCTCACTGCAACCTCCACCTCCCAGGTTCAAGCGATTCTCCTGCCTCAGCCTCCAGAGTAGCTGGGACTATGGGCACCCACCATCACACTCAGCTAATTTTTGTGTTTTTGGTAGAAACAGGGTTTCACCAGCCGGACACGGTGGCTCACGCCTATGATCCCAGCACGTTGGGAGGCCGAGGCAGGTGGATCACGAGATCAAGAGATCGAGACCATCCTGGTCAACAAAGTGAAACCCCGTCTCTACTAAAAATACAAAAATTGTCTGGGCATGGTGGTGCGCGCCTGTAGACCCAGCTACTCAGGAGGCTGAGGCAGGAGAATTGCTTGAACCCAGGAGGCGGAGGTTGCGGTGAGCCGAGATCATGCCACTGCACTCCAGTCTGGGTAACAACAGAGAAACTCTGTCTCAAAAAATAAAAAAAGAAACAGGGTTTCACCATGTTGGCCGGGCTGGTGCCAAACTCCTGACCTCAGGTGATCTGGCCACCTCGGCCTCCCAAAGTGCTGGGATTATAGGCGTAAGCAACCATGCCCAGCCCCTTATACTGTTTTAGTTTATATGCTCACAATTGTTTATCTACTGTCTTCTTTGACTAGGTTAAAAATTCCTTCAGAACATAAATGCTATCTTATATTCCCACCATCATGTCTTTAAACATATAGCAGGTACTCAAATTAAATGCCAAGTTGTTTATGACTGGCATTTCCCTCATTGATTCTCTAGGTTAACAACCCAAATAAATGGGGGGTGAGGGAAATCATGGAAGCTGAGTCCAGTAAAAAGTACTTAAAAGGTACTGTCAGAGATTGTTGGATGCATAACGTTGGCAATTGTAGAGTCTAGGTGCTAGGTTTATGAGTTTATGCTGCTTTCAGTTCCATTTGAAATAATTTTTAAAATGTTGGAGGAAAGGTAATCAGTAGGAACAAAAAGTCACAAAAATTGGACTAGAATTCCTTAGTACCCTTAGAGGTATGCAGAAACATGGTACAATTTAAAATTAACTACAAATATGGGTCCAGTATTAACTAAAATACAATGAACCAAGAAAAAACTTCACCTTTCAAAGTTTTGTTTAGAGCAACCAAAATTATCTTTTGCTATTCTATCCAGAGTTAAACAAAAAAGATATAGTCTAGAAGCATCATGTCAGGGAGGGAGGCACATTGGAAAAGCATCAGCCATTGGAACCAGACAAACCTGGACTTGAATCCCTGCTGTTACTTAGCTCTGTGATCCTGTCCAAAGTTTATTTCTTCATATCTAAAGGTAAAATATGTATCTTGCATGTAAAATGCCCAGCACAGAATTTCTGGTCAGACATAGCTTTTTCAAATGATGTTTACCTCTGCTCTCTCCCAAAACTCCATTAAAAGGACAGGAAAGAAATAGGAAGGTAAAATTATAAGGATGATGAAAGAATCCAAATGGCCATTAGATTCTCGACAGTGACAATGAAACAATGGCTTCAAGTCTCAAAAAGTGATACCCAGGCTAAAATTCTATATATAGCCAAACTAGGAATCAAGTATAAGGGTTGAATAAAGACATTTTCAGACTTACAAGATCTTAGAGATTTTGCCTCCCAGGCACCCTTTCTCAGGAAGCTAGTAGAGTCTTGTGTTCTACAAAAAGTAGACCAAGAAAGAAGGAAAAGGGGGAATTTAGATCAGGAGTCTAACACAGGAGGTAAAAGGAATCCCCAAGAAGGTTATAGGAAATCCCAGAGCAACAGCTGTACAACTTACCTAAAGGGCATCAAGTACAAATGGAAAAAAGAGCACCAAGGACTCCTGCAGGGATAGCTCTGACAAGGATTATTCAGTATGTTTTAATATATTGACACATGCTTCTGGAAGATTTGGGAATGAATCACTGATAGGTATACATAGAAAAGAATTTTTTTTAAACTCTGTTAACTCCAAAAAAAATAAAAGTTACATAAGTAAATTTAATCATAGCATACTGCATAGCTCAGCTGTATTAGTTATATAGACTTCTGATCTAAAATTGTTACAAAACTATAATGAGAGAATGAAGAAGTGGAAATATATGTGGAACAGAGACTTCTTCCATGGTATGAAATTAACAGATTTCTTTAAAAGAAAAAGAAAAAAAAAGAAGTGAACAATATAAGCATATTACTTAGAAACCTAGAGGTATATACCAGAAAAACTCAAGAGTTGAAAGTGGTCACCTCTGGGGAGTGGGAATCTTGAATGGGAAGAATGGGCTGGGGCTTTTTTGTTATAAGCCTTGACTTTTTAAAGGATGACCATGTATAACTAATAAAAGTAAGTTAGAATAAAAGCACTAAAACAATGTCTGCCACAAAGTAGGCCCTTGATAAAGAATAAACATTTATCTAATTGTCCCATCTCTCCACTGCTGCTGCCCCACTTCTTGCATTCAGCAATGTAGATATCTGATCCATTCCTCGAGATTCTATTCTCACCCTTCCTAACAAAGTATGACAGGAAAAAAAAATCACGGTTTCAATGGACACTTTTATTGTTTATTTAATGGATCATCAATTTCACCTCCCTGCCTACAAAGGCAATTTCATCTTGTTTCCATGCTGAGTAGTGAAACAGTAACAAAGCTAGTAAGAATAAGCTACATCAAAACTAAGCTAACACAGCTCACTAACAGGCAAAATATAAATATATGCACTCTAGAATGCACAATGGTTTAGTCACTAAGAAATTCAAATGGGATCTTGAAGAATGTAGGCATATCCAGGGTGCAGTAAAGATGAGCTGAGATGCTGTGCAACTGTTTAAGGGTTCCTGTCACTGCATCTCTTGGCCACTAGCTGAATCGACATGGAAGGTTTTGGCTAATGCCAAGTGGAGATGCAGAAAATGCTAAGTTGACTTGGGGGCTGTGCACAGGAACTAAAAGGCAGGAAAGTACTAAATATTGCTGAGAGCATCCACCCCAGGAAGGACTTTACCTGTTTTTGAGAGAGCACACATACACAAACAGCATTACTATAGGGCCCAGTAAGCCAGATCTCCCCCATTTATCTTCCCAATAACATGCCAGCTCTTTTTTAGGATATATGGCCAGGAGTTGAGGAACTTTTGCATTTTGGATTCCAGGTCTACTAGACCATAGCTCTCAGAACAAGTTTCTGTCTGTCCCTCCCCACCTCAATGGATGCCAGGAGCTTTATCTGAAGTTCCTCTGTACTGCCCAGCTAGTAATGACTGCTAATGACAACAGAACCTACCAACTTTCTCTACTCCATTTTACCCACCTCTCACTGCACAGTCCTACCCTTCTCCCAAGCAAGCCAAAAAACAAAAGAACCTCACCTTCCAGGAGCTCTAAACTGGCACCACCCCCAGTGCTCACATGGCTGACCTTATCCTCCGTGTTCCATTTGGCACAGCAAGTGGCAGTGTCTCCACCACCTGTTGAATGAAAGCCAGGTAAAAAGAGAAAAGAAAAAAAAAATGTTTGGCACCAAAACTGTAAGGCAGTGTGCTCTCTAACCCAAAAGATAGCTGATAGACCCCCAACTCTATCTTACCAAGAGGTAAATTATCTACCTGTTTAGCTCTTAAGATTTACCCAGAATGAAGAGACAGAAGAAGTTCTCTATTCTACCTTCCTCTGATCAGAATTCTGCCAGCTCATATTAGTATTACCTTTGTATAGGACCACTTACCTATGATGGTGATGCAGCCCCTAGAAGTGGCTTTCACCACCTCATCCATGAGGGCTTTGGTTCCCCGGGCAAAAGCTTCCCATTCAAATACCCCCACAGGACCATTCCACACAATCTGCTTAGCCCGAGTGACAGCCTCAGCATACTTCTTGCTGCTTTCAGGACCACAGTCCAAGCCCTGAGGGGCAGAGTTGAAAGAGAAGATGAGCTATCAAGAAAAGCTACTGAAACACCACCTTTACCAAGACCAGAACTCAAGGCTGCACACCAGAGTTTCTTCTAGAACCAAATGTTACCCTTCAGTCTTTAAAATTATAAACCTGTTCATGCCCTTTGTACTCAAAAATTCTACTGTATGGAAGAGCAAGTCTAAAGGAAAACCTCAAAAGTTATTTAATAAAGACATTCTTAGCCATACTATTTATGTTAGCGAAGACTAGATCAATGGTTTTCAACCAGGGTCAGTTCTGCCCTTCCACAATGGATAGACATGTGGCAATGTCTAGAGATATTTTTGTTGTTGCAACTTGGGAGGTTGCTACTGGCATCTAGTGGCCAAGGCTGCTTTAAACAACCTTACGATTCAGCAGTCACTCATAAAACAGATGTCAATAGTGTTGGGAATGACAGACAGTGAACTAAATCAGTCGTACTCAAATTCTGCCATGCATGAGAATCACCAGAAGGGCTTATTCAAAAAGACTGCTCAGCCCCACCCCCAATTTCTGATTCAGTAGGTCTGGGGTGGGGCCTAAGAACTTGCATTTTTAACAAGTTCCAAAAATGATACTGATACTGCTGGTCTTAGGAACACACTTGGAGAAACACTGAACTAAATAATACCTGAATGCCTGACAAAAGAAAAACTAAGCAAACTAGCATGTAAAAACATGTTACAATTTTATATAGCTATAAAAATGATATTCAGAGTACCCTAAAATCAACTATATTAGTATATACACATATATTCCTCCCTGCTTGTAATCAGTATACTTCTTAATCTTTTCATATGAGAAAGTTTTTTTTCTTTTTGAGACAGGGTTTCACCATGTTGGTCAGACTGGTCTCGAACTCCGGACCTCAGGTAATCTACCTGCCTCGGCCTCCCAAAGTGCTGGGATTACAGGCGTGAGCCACCACACCCGGCCAAGAAATTTTCTTATATAAGTTTCTAGGTAGCAAAATAATCCAAAGCAAACCAAACCACGAAAGTGCATAACACTATCTCCAGCACACAGTAAGTACTTTATACACACTAAACAGAAGAAGTAAAAAAACAGAAAAAACAAAAAATGGGCCGGGCACAGTTGCTCACGCCTGTACTCCCAGCACTTTGGGAGGGCGAGGCAGGTAAATCACGAGGTCAAGAGATCGAGATCATCCTGGTCAACATGGTGAAACCCCATCTCCACTAAAAATATTAAAATTAGCTGGGCATGGTGGCACGCGCCTGTAGTCCCAGCTACTCGAGAGGCTGAGGCAGGAGAATCGCTTGAACCCGGGAGGCAGAGGTTGCAGTGAGCTGAGATCACTCCACTGCACTCCAGCCTGGCAACTGAGCGAGACTCCATCTCAAAAAAAAAAAAGGTTTTGCAACATTACTGATGAAGACACCAGTAGTCCAATAGCACTGCTTTTCTCCTATGGATTCTCCCATAATAAGGGACTCACTGCAACATGCGGCACACTCTCTGACAGAGATCTCCTATAGAGATTGTTTTAAAATGCTTGTTGATTGGCTGAATCAATGAATGAATGACACCACAAAGTTTCTATTCACTCACACTACCAACCCACTCAAGTGACTCACCATCCAGCCAGCAGGTATGCCAGAAGCCACAGTGGCTTGGCCAGTCTTGGCATTCTCATCAAACTTGTCAGCAGTGACGAAGTCAACAGGCAAGGTAATCTTCACACCATTCTTCTCAGCTTTGGACATTAGGTCTTTGACAATCTTGGCTCCCTCTTCATCAAACAGAGAAGTACCGATCTACACAGGGAAGCCAAAATGATGAAGGTCAGCATCTATACTAAGAACAAGACTGCCTTGCAAAGCAGACAGGAACCACACACAATGCAATATAAAGGAACAAGGGAAAGACAAAAGAAAAACTTGCCAAAATAAATAAAAATGGGAGTTTTAGATCGCGCCATTGCACTCCAGCCTGGGTAACAAGAGCGAAACTCAGTCTCAGAAAAAAAGGGGGGGGGTTTCAGGGCTCATGTCAAAAGATCATTTTCTTTTTACATTTATACAACCTGCTATTATCATGGAGAGTTATTTCACATCCACTTGGCATTGGTTTCCTACCTCCATGTTGTTGAGCACCTTAAGAAAGGTAAAAGCCATTCCACCACCAATAATCATCTCATTGACTTTGTCCAGCATATTATTGATCAGCTGGATCTTGTCTGCAACTTTAGCTCTAGAAGAGAAAGTAAGAATCATCACTTAAAGAACAATGTACTAGAAAAGTGACATATTACATAGAACCTGAGTTTCTTTATCAAGGCACAGGAACAGAGAAATGTCTCAAAGTGACAAAAGTACTGCCTAACTTTGCCCTGTTTCTCCAACCCAAAAACTCAATCCATTTCTAAGAAATCCTTTTAAGGTATGGCTCCAGACATCAGTACATCTTTTTAAAAATTTCTCACCCAACTTACCATCAGTACATCTTTTTAAAAATTCTACCTAGAAGCTGACAGATAACAGATTTAAACCCATATTCTTTTTTTAAGTAGGGCTCAGAAGACCTACTCTTGGCTAAGGAATCTATGAGTTCCAAATATATCTATTTTTCACACTCCCCAACACACACACACACACGATTTAGAGAATCAAGATTGCTAATTATGTCTGAGTACGACTGCTAATTATGGCACCCTGGAGCCCACTCACAATTATCCTAACCTTACAGCAGAGATCAGACTGTATACCAAATAAATATAAACTGCACAAAAATAGATAATCCTAAAGTCATACCCTATGCTCAGTTGCTAGGACATCTTCTTTTTTTCTCTCTCTTTTCAACATGAAGTCTCACTCTGTTGCCAAGGCTGGAGTGCAGTGGTGCAATCATAGCTCAGTGTAATCTGGAACTCCTAGGCTCAAGCAATCCTCTCGCCTCAACCTCTCAAGTAGCTAGAACTACAGGCGTACAACACTACCCCTGGATAATTTTTCTTTTTTAATTTTTTTGTAGAGACAAGGTCTCACTATGTTTTCCAGGCTAGTCTCAAACTCCGAAGCTCAAGTGATCCTCCTGCCTTGGTATTCCAAAGCACTAGGGTTACACACATAAGCCACCATGTCCAGCCTGGGACATTTTCTTTATGGCATTTGTTTTTGTTGGATCACCCAATTCAATACATTTACTGGGCACCTACTCTGTGCAAAGCACTATTCTAGGTCTTTGAGAAACATCAGTGGGCAAAGGCAAAAAAGAAAGATCCCTGCCCTTTGGGAGCTTATTTTCTAGTAAAAGAAAATAAGATAAATACACGTGCATCTTTCATCTCCCTATGAGAGAAAAAAGATCCAAACTAAAGAGAAACAAAGTAATAGCTTGTCTCCCATAAACATTTCCATATATCTAAATCCCACTTACATGGACAAATCGCCTTGAGTCTGTTTCCTTCTTCATTCAATAAAGAAGATAATGCCTATCCTGTGAGAGACCCTATGCTAGGATTTGTGAAAAGGAAGTATGAAACAACAGTGATGTGTGTGAACCAATGACAAGAAACTATTTACTACTTATTTCACTTGTAAAGATTGGTTACCACCAAGGGTATAGATGGATTGTTTTAAATACATACACACACACACACACACACACATGCACACACACATACTTATTTCACTTGTATTCACTTTGTCAGGAATATGTGTATGTTCCTGACAACAAATTCACTTTGTTGGGAACATACACGTGTGTGTGTGTGTGTGTGTGTGTGTGTATACATTCCTGACAAAAAAAAGAGGGTTAGGATATAGAAGAAACAAGCTTAGCAAAAATATCAATTAATTGTTGAAACAGGGTAATAGGTACCTGGGAGTTCACAGTACTATTCTCTCAACTTCTGTACGTATGAGTGTTTCTACCATAAAGCTTGTTTAATAAAATATAAAATTCTCCCCAAAAACTGTTAATGGCCTAGGGAAACTACACTGCAAGGAAGGGGGCAAAAAAATCTCTCATCCACTTCCCCATAACAGCTATGTCAGTCTAAATCTAAAAACCTAACCATAAGGTGACACTAGGTAGCACTCACTCCCATATTACAGGTCTACAGAAAGTTGAAGAACAAAGCCTGTTGAGGGTGGGAGGGTATGCAGCAGCAGGAGACTGAAAGAAGATCAGAGTATTCATTTCCCTGGCTCCCTCCCTACCAGATCTTGTGTCCTTTAACCAAAGGCTATAGTTCCGATCAGATGGCTCTCTCCATACCAACTATCCTCTCTCAATTCGGATAACCATTCCCCTCCCTTTGTCCCTTCAGACCTAGAGATCATGATGGCTGTTGCTAGCCCCAAATTACTGTACTGTCCCTTTGTGGTTTCCCTGAACCCTACCCTCACCTCTGCATGGAGCTCTTTTATTTTTTTTTGAAACAGGGTCTTGCTTTATCACCCAGGCTGGAGAGCAGTGGCATGATCACAAGTGCACTGCAACCTCTACCTCCCAGGCTCAAGTGATCCTCCCACCTCAGCCTCCCTGGTAGCTGGGACCACAGGTGGATACCACCACGGCCCAGCTAATTTTTTTTTGTAGACATGGGATCTCACTATGTTGCCTAAGCCCATCCCAAACTCCTGGGCTCAAGCAATCTTCCTGCCTGGGCCCTCCCAAAGTGCTGGGATTACAGGTGTGAGCCACCATGCCCAGCCTGTAGTTCCTTTATTAAATTCTCCTCAGTTAGCCCATTGTGACTGAGCTATATGACAATAAACACCCAAGTTATGACCTACTACCAGTCAAACAATACTTAAAGCATGATCTTAAAGAGTTCTTCATACCCGCCCAGGATGGCCAGGAAGGGTCGCTCTGGGCTCTCCAAGGCCTTGGCAAAGTAGTTCAGCTCCTTCTTCATCAAAAAACCACCAGCCTTCTGTGGCAGATTGACTCCTACCATGGAGCTAGAAAAGACCAAAGACATTCAAATTCTAGTCAATCCCTATCATTCCTCCTACTCCTAGAGGCCAGCTCCTTATCACTAAAATATTTCTACTTCTGGACTGAAGGAGATCATGGTTTTCATCCCTACATTGCAACAAAAAACACTTCGGTACAAGATACAATTTTTAACTCATAGTGCAAGGTCAAGGGGAAAGAGTACAAAGTAATGAACTTAGGTTGAATGTAAGATACCCAGTTAACACTCTTCAGCAGGCCAAAGAGCTAATCACAATAAGTAAACTGGCCGGTTGATGATAGCAGAAGAGGATTCCTCAGTTTGGCTTCCTACTGAAAGCATGATCGTCTGATCTTATAACATTCACAAAGGGATTAACTACACAAAATATCTAAGGTGAAAAAGAGCAACCTCTTCCTGAAACTCCATAAAAAGGTCTACAGTTACCAATTTTTTTTTACCTTTATTTCCTCTTTGGATGAGAGATACTCAACAAGAGCCACAGTGGTAGCTCCAATTAGACAAGCTGAAAGGGTCTCAGTATAATACAGAACTCTCCAAAAGCAACCCAGAGCTTAGGCTACTCAAGTAAACAGGAATATTGTTCTCAGTGTAGTAGTCAACAAGGTTCTTGGTACCTGTGGGCTCTATGAGCAGTGCCAAAAGCATCGTTAACATAGACATCCCCTAGCTTGGAAAGTGAAGCTCGGAAAGCTTCTATTTTGGCTGGCTCAGCTTTAACCTAGAGAGAAAAACAGAAACAGAAAATGTGATGGCTCCAAAGGCAACTACAAAAGCATTTCATACACCAAGAGTCCTCTTGAACATCTCCAAAGACCAAGTAAGTGAGACAGCGATTTTTTACAACCAGCAATAGGATGTGTTCTTTCTTCCAAATATTCCAGGTACTTTGGTCATTTCTGCGTGTTTCTGCTATCCCTTACCTTCCCTCAAATTGCAAACCTAATACTCCTGAAGCATGGCTTAACCTCTAATCACATTAAGTTAACCACATCCCACTAGCTTCTCTCCAGCCTTCAGCTCAAGGTTCTGATTATCCTTCCCTCTCCTTGACTTAGTTCCTCATTTTAACACATTCTCTTTGTGAAAGTTAGTATCGTACCTGACTCAAGCTGCTGGCTACCGAGGCTTGAAGTAAATGGGGCTCCCACACATATTCCTCATAAAAGCAACAAGGGCAAATTCAGACAGAGAAGGCAGATGGAAACATGACAACAGAAAAGGATCTCAGAAACACTTTACATTGACAAAGAGTTATTTTATGGCCTTCCCTGGAAGCTAGACATCAGAGAACACAAAAAATATCCTTGTACAAAAAGAGAGGAAGAAAATGTAGAAGTTAAACATAGAGCTTTAAAATGTCAGCTTGCCATCAAGGGATACCCCAAAGGGGACAGACAGCAAGATGGGAGGATAGGCAAAACAAAGAGTCTCTGGCAGGAGATTAAGCCAAGATTCACAAGAAGCAAGCCAGATGAAAGGGGACATGGCACAGAAGAGTACACAGCACACAGCAGATGTTCATTTTAGTCACTGCCTTCTCCTATGCCCGTATGTATCAAGGAGGTGATGGTGACTGCCATAAAAAATGGGGCTTTTCCCTAAAGACCCAAAGAATTGCAGAGACACTAATGCTAAAATTGAAGACTATGGAGCTCCCATAACCTCTCTAGAATAGAACAACATCTGCCACTAGTGATTGGAAGATGACACATGCAGTAACGATGACACTACTCAAATGTAAAGAGACCGAGTTCTATGTCCAGCTCTGACACTAATTCATTGTGTAACCTTTGGGAAGTTGCTCTCTGTCTGTGAAATTTCCCCTTCTATCAAAAAGGCATAATAACCCCTCTGTTTAAGAACTAGTTAAGGAGTCCAGGTACAGTAGCTCATGTCTATAATCCCAACACTTTGCGAGGCCAACATGGGAGGATCACGTAAGTCCAGAAGTTCAAGACCAGCCTGGGCAACATAGCAAGACCATTTCTCTACAAGAAAAAAAAAAAATTTAAAAGTCAGCTGGGCATGGTGGTATGTGTCTGTAGTCCTAGCTACTTGGGAGGATGAGGTAGAAGGATCACTTCAGCCCACAAGTTTGAGGCTGCAATGAGTCAGGATCATGCCACTGCATTCCATCATGGGCAACAGAGCAAGATCCTGTATCTTTAAAAAGTCATTTAAAGAAAAACGGGGTAAATGGAAAGCTCTTCATGAAAAAAGGTGCCATGGAAATAAAAATATCAATCAGAACTCATTTCTCATTTTTGATCTGCAAATAACTAGAAGAGAAGACCCTTAAAAGATCGATATGGGCACTTTGGATAAAGGAAAAATGTTTATGTCCTCATGTCCTCACTTTGTTTTTGTTTTTCGATATGGAGTCTTGCTCTGTCGCCCAGGCTGAATACAGTGGTGTGATCTCAGCTCACTGCAATCTCCACCTCCCAGGTTCAAGCAATTCTCCTGCCTCAGCCTCCCAACTACCTGGGATACAGGCATTTGCCACCACACTCAGCTAATTGTTTTGTATTTTTTGTAGAGACAGGGTTTCACCAGGTGGGCCAGGCTGATCTCAAACTCCTGACCTCGTGATCTGCCCACCTCAACCTCCCAAAGTGCTGGGATTACAGGCGTGAGCCACCGTGCCCAGCCTCACTTTTTTTTAATCTATTTTGAACTTGGGACTGACTCCTGAAATCACAGGTATTAAAAGCCATTACATAGTAAATGTCAAGTCAATTAACTAAAAAAGTCATAAGCTAGCATAGCTCATCATTTCCTGAATAAAAAGCTTTGCTTCAATTTGCCCATTACCTCCCGCCACTTCTAAGCCCTAGAGTTCATGCATCATCAGTTCTAGTTTAAAAGGACACCAAATTTTAGGTCAGCATTTGACTCCTAACACTGTAGGAAGACCATGCCAAAGGCAGGATAAGGCAAGACCAGCACCTTTGGTGCTAAAAAAAGAAACTGCTTGAAAGCAGGCACTCCCAATGACCTTAAGAAATGTGAGAAGCCAAAGAGGACTGAGATACTAGACTCAGAGCATCCTGTTCTCTAAGACACTGAAGACCAAAATAGTGGAAAGTACTAAAAAATGCCTTTAGCTTCCATTCTAGCCAATGGGCAAATTCAAAATCATCTCCAAAGAGCCAGGTTGATCACTGAATATCTGAATTCTGGTTGTCAGTTCATAGTAATCTGTTTGGTGGGTTACCTAAGACTGGCTTTTGCACAATATCAGCAGAGGTGAGTAGTTCCAACAGAAACTATATGCAGATGGAACTCACTGCACAACACACAAAGCCTTAAATATTGACTATCTGGCCATTTGTAGAAAAAGTTTGCTGATCGAATAGGCTGAGCTCTAAAGCCCATCAACAGCACCACTGCCTCTAACTTTAATCATGACTGCCTTCCTGAAACTTAGTGTTTTCTTTTGAGACTTAGTTTCTTTATAAAATAAGGTGATACCTGTACCTCCTTACCTTAGACAGATTTAAAGAAAATGCTTTACACTTCTTAAGAAAATGCCTTAAATCCAAGGTGACATCATCATGACCATCATATTCACTGAATACTCTTCCACCACAAAGGTGTTCACATACTTTTCAAATGTATTTAAAAACCAACTGAACATGAAGAAGGGCTTTCTGGGATGTTGGTAAGATTCTATCCCTTGACCTGGGCAGTGGTTACACAAGTGTGTTTACTTTGAGATAATCCATTAAGCTGTGCATTTTTCTATGTATACTTCAATAAAAGGTGTCTAAGGAAAAATAAATGAGCTTTCTCTATTCTTCAACCACCATCTCCTACAGACTCAGGCCCTCTCCCTCAATAATGTCAAAATCACAGGTCCTACCTTGTTCCCAGAAGCATCTTTTCCCTTCCCTTCTTCCTCCACATAAAAGCGGAGGTTCTCCAGCAGGATGATAGACCCAGCAGCTGGGTTGGCACAGGCTTTCTCCACTTCTGGGCCTACACAGTCCTTCAAGAACAGAACATCCCTGAGGAGAGGAAGAGATGAAGATGCTTGAACAGTCTGAAAATTAAGAACCAGTAACGACATGCTTGACAACCTCCCCCGCCACAAAGTCTATCAGCACCAGAGCCTGGCACTTACTTGCCCAACAGAGATTTGAGTTCCACAGCAACTGGCTCTAAGGAGTACTTGTCAGGCATAGGGACACCATCAGGCCGGCCTAGATGACTCATAAGGACTACTGACTTGGCTCCATTATCTAAGCAGAATTTGATGCTTGGGACAGCAGCCTTAATCCTGCAACCAAAATAAAAAAAACAACAAACAGAACAAAGTTACTTCTAGAAATTAGTGGGAACTAGTTTATTGATAAACTTATAAAACATAAAGCTTTTTCTTCTCCAAGTTCCTTCAAATCTACTATCAATAATTCAATGGTGGTCCTTAGGGGAAGAAGTTAAATACAATGACAACCCTCTATGTAGGATTGTAAAATCTCATTATGTATCTGCCCCTTTCACAGAAAAGGGTTAACACAGCAGGCCTGAGGCTGCTGTCTACAGAAGGACCTGCTTGCAAAACTGGATCGTGGCTGGTATCTGGGAACTTGGCTTTCAAAGTTAACTGACAAAACTAAGGGCTATTCACTGTTCCTAGACTGTCTATACAACCAAGATGATTTATGCTAAACACTAGCCCCACTCTAGAAGTCTAGAATTTTTTTTTTTTTGAGACAGAGTTTCATTCATTCTGTCACTCAGCAGGCTGGAGTGGAGAGGCAAGAGAGGCACAATCTTGGCTCACTGCAGCTTCAACCTCCCTGGGGGCTCAGGTGATCCTCCCACCTCAGCCTCCCAAGTAGCTGGGACTACAGGAACACACCACCATGCCCAGCTAATTTTTGTATTTTTTGTAGGGGTTTTGCCATGTTTTCCAGGCTGATCTTGAACTCCTGGGCTCAAGCAATCTGTGGGCCTCAGCCTCCCAAACCACGGGGAATACAGGCATGGGCTACCATACCCAGCCTAAATTTGGAATTTTGGTAGTTGCTAGGCAAAGGATACCTACATAACCAGTTCCCAATAAAAATCTTGGGATCTAAGTATCTAGCAGGCTTCTCCAGGCAGAAACATTGAAGACAATTACTGGATTTTTCACTGCTGAAGAAAGGATAACACTTGACATGTCCCCTCACAGGAAACTTGGAAGCCCATGGATTTCTCCAGACTCCCCCATGTGTTTTCCTCTTGCTAATCTTGTCATGCATTCTTTCACCATAATAAACTTTAGCCATGAGAACAACTCTTGAGTCATAGCAAATCATTGTGGGATATGTGGTTGGTCTTGGGGACCCCATAACACTCTTCTTATATGACTATGGAAAATACATAAAATTCTCAAATCTTGAAACCATCAAAGGAAATTTAGGGAAAAATCAAAAACACGTAGTAACTTTTCTGCATCTATTATATTAATAGACCCTAAGTCACTTTTTTATGTAGGAAAAAATAAATGTACTGTATAGAGTTTGGTTTCCACAATGTATCACATTTATTAGATTACAAATGAAAAAAAAAATTAACTCCCTTTAAAGGTTTAAAAGTTTTGTTACAAGCCTGCTACTAACTTGCCATTTTGCAAGTTTATAAGAAATTTAAATTGATCAAGAAAGGCACTTATTTATTCAACAAATATTTATTGAATGCTTCTTTTGCGCCAGGCATCATTCCAGGTTCTGAGAATAAAACAAAAAACTTTTTTAAAAAGTCTCTATTCTCAAGGAAGTGTAATTCTAATAGGGAGAGACAATAAACATGTGTGTCTGTGTGTGTGCATGTAATATATCAGATGGTGAAATACAGAAAAAATAAATCACTGTTCTGATTGGGGAACAATGGTGGAGATTTTTAGACAGAATGGCCAGGACAGTCTGATAACATTTGAGCAAAAAATCGAATGACGAAAAAGTTCTATTTCTAAAATATCTTATTCTATTAATATTTAGCAGATATAAGAACTCATTTCTATCAAATTGTAAAAATCTGTATCAAGTACAAAGTTTGTGCAATGGAACCAATTAGTTTTCAGGACTATCCCTTATCAGCAAGTTCTATTATTTCTAATGCTTCATTTTATTAATCAACTCCATGGATTTCTGGAAATGAAAATATTTCCAAACATGTTTCTTTGCTCTTTACTCTTAAAATACTTTGACAGGCATATTTCCAATCTTTTCTGTGTGCTGCATAATAATGAAGATCAAGAGGGATCAGATCTGCCTGTAAAAAGACCCTGCCACTATGGTGCAGCAGGGAAGTACTTGACAAAATGACAGCCTCTATTCTTGGACCAATACCTGAAGGTTCTGCGGCTAGACTTACACTGTCCAATAGTTATTTAGTCATGTATGTTCACTGAGTACTAGATATATAACTAGATCAAATTGAGATGTGCTATAAGTATAAAAACACATAACAGATCTTGAAGACTTAGTACAAAAAAAGTTAAATGTCCCTTTAATTTAATTATTACAATTTGGTTCACATTATATTTCTATTAGATAGCACTGGTCTAGATCATTGGAAAGCACCTTGCCAGCACAAACCCTTCATTTAAAATTTTAAACAGGCTGAGCACAGGGGCTCATGCCTGTAATCCCAGCACTTTGGGAGGCCAACGTAGGTGAAGTCCAGGAGTTCAAGACAAGCCTGGGCAACATGGCGAAACCCTGTTTCTACAAAAAAAATACAAAAAAGTAGCCAGGTGTGGTGGCCCATGCCTGTGGTCCCAGCTACCTGGGAGGCTGAGGTGAGAGGATCGCTTGAGCCCAGAAGGCAGAGGTTGCAGTGAGCCAAGATCATGCCACTGCACTCCAGCCTAGGAGACAAAAAGAGGCAAAAAGGAAAAAAGTAAATAACCTTCTTGATGGATACCCCATTTAACCTGATGTGATTATTATATATTGCATGCTTGTATCAAAATATCTCATGTGACCCATAAATATATGTAATCTATAAGAAGTAAAAAAAAAAACAATTAAAAAGAAAATAAAGACAAAAATAAATAAATAAAAATCTTTTACAATCTAGTCAAAAGCAAGAGCAGTACTCTCACTTAAAATTTCTGTTTCTAAATCTAGGATCCAAGACATTGGAACAGCTAAATTGACTGAAAACATACTTCTGAAGTCTTTTCTGGTTTTTGGAAGCAAAAACAAATGAAAATTATCAAAAATTGATTTTATCTGAGCCATCTGGAATGGTGACTTGAACAGGGACTTGTAAAACTATATGTAACCTTAATAACTATGGGTATTTTAAAAATCCTTCTTTTACGTAGTTCTTCATTTTGCAAGAGAAGCCAAGTAACCTTAAACTTTTATATTCTTTTTACGTGTCTGTATTTTATAGAGATGGTATCTCACTATGTTGGCCAGGCTGGTCTCAAACTATTGGCCTCAAGCAATCCTCTTGCCTCTGTCTTCTAAAGTGCTAGGATTACAAGTGTGAGCCACCACACCCAGCCAACTTTTATATTCTTAAAAATGAATAACTGCCAGGCATGGTAGCTCACACCTGTGGTCCTAGCACTTCAGGAAGCCAAGGCAGGAGGATCACTTGAGTCCAGGAGTTTGAGACCAGCCTAGGCAACATAGTGAGACCCCATCTCTACCAAAAAAAATTTTTTTTAATTTAACCAGGCGTAGTGGCATACACCTGTTGTCCCAGCTACTCAGGAGGCTAAGGCCAGAGGATTGCTTGAGCCCAGACGGTTGAGGCTGCAGTGAACCATGATCATACCACTGCACTCCAATCTGGGTGAAAGAGCAAGACCCTGTCTCAAAAAAAGAAAGTGAACTCCAAATTCTTCTAATTTTCAAAAAAACAAGGGGAGGGGAATCACTTTCTTAGGACTTTGCTTATATTTGAATATTCTCATAAATAAGAAAGCAGATCAGATAGTGGGTTGATAGAAAGCCAAAATCCTATGTCTTAAATTGCTCCAGTTCTATAATACAATATGAAAGGAAAACCATTTCATCCTATGTATCTACACACATCTTAAACCCAGCCCAAGGCTTAGCAAGGACCTTACCTCTGGTTGTTTGTTATCTGGTTGTTCTTCATAGGAACATTGAAGTCGACTCTAAAAAAGAAAGATTCAGAGCCATGATCAAATTATTGTTCCATCAAAGATTAGGAGATGCACTTTTAATGAACCAGTTAAATAAGTTGGAAATCCAATCTCATCTTAAAAATAATCAGTGACATTAAAAGTCAAAATAGTGCTTAGTCATGGGGAGGATGGAGGGAGTAGGGACTGGAATGAAACACCAAAGGCTTTGGGGTTCTGGTAATGTTCTATCTCTTAACCTCGGTGATCATACAAATATGCTCATTTTGTGGTAATTCTTTGAGCTTATAATTTGTGCTCTTTTAGTTATGTATCTCACACTTTAAAAAGAATTAAAAAAAAAACTAACTTAAATCACAGGAACTGGCCCTGAAGATCTGAGAAGCTAAAGCTACCAGTTCCATCTAAAAAGATGTCTGTCTGGGCCTGGCATGATAGTATCTGAGTAGCAGCTGGAGGGGTGAGGAATAATAAGGAATGCATCTTGATCCTAATTCATTTGATACTATTTTGGCGTCCTTGTGAAATTAACATGACTCAAAAGAAAAAAATTAACTGGAAAAATAAAACACATTAAGAAAAAAATCATTCTTTATGGAGAAAGTCTGAGGCCTTAAGACTAGGGGGAAGAAACCCAGTGTCTAGTACAAAGTTCACACAGTATCTTTCAAGCAATATACACACAACATTAAGACAGCATCTTTCAAAAAGCCTGAGAAGAGAAGGTGGGACATGTGCCCCCAGTCCACCTGACAAAAAGGCAAATTAGAAGGGAAGTCATCAAGATGACACAGAAAATAATGTACTGCAGTCTCTCTTACCCAACAAATTACTGTTTTACCATTCTTAAGAACCAATTATTCTGAACTCCTTGGAACCTCAGCCTACTTCAATGTGAATGAAAACAATAATGCATGGCAGTTATTTTTAATGTCCAAGAGTTTTGCCTGCCAACATCATTTTTAAGTGATTTTTTTTCTCATGGGGATGACAGTATCTACCTCATAGTTACTGAAAGAATTAAGTAAGTTTGCAATTTGTAAGTACTTAGAAGAGTACCTGACACACAGTAAGTGCCGTAAAAGTGTTAGCTGTTGTTATATGTTTCTCCAAAATGTAATTCTGCAACTTGACAAGTAATCAACCACAACAGCTAGCATCACTTGCAAAGGGACTACAGTAAAGTATGACCTAATCAAGAAGACTGCTGCTATCCTTGATTATAAGCCTCCATCTTTTTCCTCTGCCTTTTTAAATACCCCTTCCTCTATAAGGCTAAGGCAATTACAGACTCCTACAGACATACTGAGAACACCCCCAATTTCCTATACCCACTAGGCCTGAAGTCCAATCTACCTCACCAAACAACAGCCTTTCCAAAGGTAGGTTGCAGGAAATCTATATTAAAACATTTTTTAAAGTGTTCAAAATTAAAGGCAGTATGCCTCTGATGAAAGAAATACACTCTACTTTCAGACCACTTGATTCTCTAAGCAACTTCTTTAAATATCCTGAACAAGGAGCCTGCCAGCCTTAAAGTACATTCCAAAGAAGAGAGAGTGTATCCCATTACCATGGGTCACTTTCCCCCATGCAACCTCCCAAAAGACCTATGCTCAAAAGGACTAATGGAAAAAGGGTGGGCACACACCACTTCTCACAGTGCTATTCTCTACCCCCAACCCTTACAGGGAGGAATATCTTTGGGCAGAGACACCCAAGAATCTGTCTTGTCTATCCAAGCTGCCATGGTGTCAGTTACTAATGAATTAGACTTGTTTTATACTCTCTCCTCAGTGCCCTCTGGATTACCTCCCCTCATCTCTTACATTCACAACAGCTTTGCTTTTAGCTTCTCCTCTGAGGACTCCAACACAGGAACTGCTCTTGCTTACATATTCTACTTGTTCCATTTTACATAAAATATGCACAATTTCCTTTTTTTTCTTCATTTCCTTATAACATGCCTGAGCTCTGCTTCAGGCACAAAGTCAGTTATCACTACATATCCATCTGAACAAAGAATAACTAAAATAAAAAATAATGGTACCACCAAGTGCTCTACATGATGCAGAGAAACTAGTTACCATTCTCTACATGATGCAGAGAAACTAGTTACTCACATACTGCTGGTAGAAATGTAAAATGGTGCAGCCACCTTGGAAAATAGTCTGGGGATACCTTAAAAGGATATGGCCCAGTAATTCCACTCCTAGGTGTTTACCCATGAAAAATGACAGCATATGTCCATACCAAGACTTGTATACAAATGTTCACAGAAGCTTTATTTCTAATAGCCCCAAATTGGAAACAACCCTAATATCCTTTAATGGATAAACAAACTATGATACATCCATACCATGGAATACTACTCAGCAATACACAGAAAGGAACTGTTGATAGATGTGACAATGTGGATAAATTTTGACGATATTAGGTAAAAAAGTTAATCCCAAAAGGGTATATACCATATGATACTGTCTGTATAGTATTTTTGAAGTGACAAAATTTTAGAAACAGTGGACAGATCAGTAGTTACCAGGAGTTATGAAGGGGGCCGGTTATTACTATAAAGGGGTGGCATGAAGAAGATCTTGTTGGGTGGTGATCGAATAGTTTTGTATCTTGATTGTGGTGGTGGTTACACAAATCTACACATGTAATAAAATGGCAGAGAAGCATACACACTTTATACCAATGTCAATTTCCTACTTTTGATATTGTACTATAATTAGGTAAGATGCATCCATTGGGGGAAAATAGGTGAACACAAGACTACTCTACTAACTTTGTAACCTCCTGTGAATCTTCAATTATTTCAAAATAAAACATTAAAAAATACACTGATTTAGCTGGAATAAGAGTATCAAGTCTCTGTCACATGAAATCTCAGATCCCAGGTCCAGTTCCATTAAAAACTCTCAAAAGAATCATGCCCATCAGTGCTTCACTTCCCCTAACTGGAAAACTAGAATATTATGGCTGTCTTAGAGACGTTTTTCCTCTGCTCTCATTTTTTTCCTGTTTCTCTTCCCACTACACCAAGGCAGTTCCTTTACAAGTTACAACAAGTTAAAGAAAACCAGTGAGGTTTAAAAAAAAAAATAAAGGTGGGAGCAAGCAAGAAGGAAGTGCTTTACAAGCACGCAACGGATGACTGGCAACCTATGAGAGAAAAAAAAAAAGAAATGACTGCAAAAATAAGCAGAAGTGTATTCAAAGAGGCTGTAAAATCAACTGAAGTTCTAAAAAACTAAGGTGGAACTTGGTAGTTAACAAGTGAGAGGTTTCTGGCATCCTAAAACACTAAGGTGGAACCTGGTAATTAACAAGTCAGAGGTTTCTGGCTATCCCATGTTCCCTCAACAAATCAATTTCCCTCGGCAATCCAAATCAGTGGACCAGAAGAGTCAGCAATACCCGAGTTCAGTTCTGCAAGACAAAGACGACAAACGAGGCAGCCACTACTCAGGAAGCCCCATTACTGAAACACTGCCAGCAATCACCACGTTGAAACAAAAAGGAATTGAGCTGACACTGCATGGCTGCTTAGGGGCCTCCAAAAAAGTAGGCCTACAATGTGACTCTCTGTTCAAAAGAAATACATTAATAATCAGGGAATGATGTAACTTCCTGTCCTCAGCCTCAATAAGTAGAGGGTATCCAGATTACAGAAGAAAGGTCTATTTCAACGTATCCTTGGTGATTGTCTCGAGTATTCAGATGATCTAGTTGATAGCCAAGGAAACCCAAATTCTAGTCCTGACTCTGCTACCAACTTGGTGGTTCAGTAACCTTGAACAGGTCATTTTCCATCAGCAAAACAGGACTTGCCAATCATTTCAAGGCTTGGGGTTAGTGTGTGTGTTAAATGAAATTTCATTAGGTCCAGAGGGAGAAAAGTTAAGCAGCTCCTCCAATCCCACCCCCAGCTAGCTTCCTCAAGCCAGTTTCCCTAGAAGGGAGGAAATAAAGCCCAAGATTGCAATTATAGGAAGATGATCAGCATGATGTCCCACTCCTTGTCTTTTAGTTGGTCCATGCATCTGGAAAGGTCAGCCTTGAACACAGTGGAAATATGAGAAACTAAAACCTAAGAGGTAGTTGCATGCCAATGTCCACCTGTCCTGTTTTTTTACAGGGTCTATCCCCTTTTTTTAGGATTGTATGAGGGCCAGAAAGGGCATTCCTCTAGTACTAACATGGCTGTGATTCCTACTTTGTCCAGATTACAAAGGCCTATGTCATTTCGGGAAATGTGGAAACCAGGTATTTTTCATGGACATAAATTATTGGGTTCTTCCATCTCCATAGCAGGGCAGAGAAAGTTACCTGCAACATAATTTTGGCCAAAATGAAATTAGAGTGAAGGGGAGAGCTACGTGTACTTTTAGGGCACCCATACAGTTCCCTAACTCAAACGTGTCCTCATATGTAAAGCTAGAATAAAGGGAGCTCTCCTACTGACTTATGTGTCTGTTAATATCCAACACAAACCCTCATTTGAATCGGCCCAAATTGGGAAAGGGGCTAGATTACACCAGCCACATTCCTACCCATCAATCAACCACTACCCGAAAAGGTCAAGGCTGCAAAATGCTATCAACACAAACCTTTATGGCCCCTCAAAAACACCACTCTTGGATCCTGTTAAGGTATATGAACAGCCAAGCCCATCAGTTACATACCACATCATCCTCCTGCACCTTGCTCCTGGTATGCAAATATTATACCACACGTGACAAAAAGGATAAATGTAAAAGCTCCACACTATACTAACAATTCTGGCAGGTAAGAGAGAAGCCATGTTGGTAAGTGACCAGAGATCCACATGCGCAGAGCAAGAGTCCCAAAGTGCACGAGGAACCCTCCCCTGCCTCTAATATTCTGCTTTTCTAGCCACACGTGGCGATGCGGTTGGAGACCAGCAAGTATGAGCAGCCACACCCTGCTCTACCATTACCTAGTATGTCATAATCCTGATGCAAATCCTGTGGCCAAGAGTCCAACGTTACCACACTGCAGGGCAGCAGAGAGGCCTGTTACATAAGCTCTGCAGGGCCTCCTCCGGTGCGCCCCGCCCTGCCCTCCCACCCCAATTATTTAGCGGCGCGGGACAGGAGGTCTACTCCTGAACAGTTAAACCAACATCGTCTTGGAAACATATCCTTTTGTGCAGAGACCGGTGAGACCTGGGCCGTTTCTCATTTGTGTGGGACGGTCTAGGGCAGTGGGGGAAGGAAAATTAACAAAATGACCTTTCAAGGTCCCTTCCTCGAAGCCCAGAGATTTGCAGGATAAGCATTAAGTCCCATCTCGCTGACCGAGAGGTGGAGGCAATGGAACTGCATTTCAGCAATAGGAAAAAAGACAAAATGGGTCCTAGCAGCAATCTCAGCCCTTCCTTAGTGGGATCCATCCCCGAAGGGTGACTTCGGCGGCTTTCTGGGCTGGGAAAATGCCGCTAGAAACCACCAAATCTGTGAGCAGCCTCGCCTTCCGAGCCGAGGACTCCTGGGGCCCAGCCGAAAGCTAAAAGCAACTTAGGGCAGACAAGAGAATAAGCCGGCTCGGGCCAAAGAGGTTTGCGACAGAACACACAGGGCACGCGGGCAAACGTGCAGAATTACCTCATAACGACCCGCTTCCCTTTCACGTCCAGCTTGTCCAGCGTCAGCTTGTTAGAAAGAGACATTTTGGAAATACAGCCGGGAGAGAGGTCGGTGATTCAGACAGCGAGGGAGCCGGCTGCGAACATGCGTTCGTTCGGTACGCTTGCAGAATGCTGAACACCGCGCGGGCAGGAATTTAGGCCGCACCGCCCCTTCCTGTAGCGCCGTGAGAAGCACCCGCTATTGGCCACTGCCCAAGGCGGTCGGCGCGCTGCCATTGCTCCCTGGTGCTGTCCATCTGCGAGGGTACAAGTGAGACGTGCGGCTTCCAGTTGTCACGTCCGGCACGCCGCGAGCCGCAAGGAACCTTCCCGACTTAGGGGAGGAGCGGGAGGCAGCGCCGGGGTGCCCACAAATGAAGTGGCGAAGATCCGGGTGACTCTGGGAACTGACGTGTAGAGTGTGCTAGGCCCAAGGTCGGCGCCGCTGCGTTTCCCGGAACCGCGCCCGGAGCAGCCACAGCTTTGCGCAAGCCCAGGACTGCCTTGGAAAAGGCGCCACCCCCAACCGCTGGAATTCGTGGCCGCTCTACCAGGCATCAACGCAAATACCACCACCTCCTTTTGAAAAACCCTGGTTTCCCGGCTCCCTTCATGGAATTCTGCTACTTAAGGCTTACTTAACAGTAAAGACCTCTCCGAAGTCGGAAAAGGCCTAGGTCCACTCTCGCCCCCACCATTTTTAACTCAAAAATGGAATGTAATTTTTCTGGTTATGGCGTGATTGATGCTAATGGCACACACATATGGCATTTTTCATGTATTAACTAATGCTCACAAAACGCCGAAGTGGGTACTGTCATCCTCGTTAAGCAAATGAAGTAACTGATGCACAGAGAAGTTTAGTGGGCCAGGCATTGTGTCTGACGCCTTTAATCCTGGCACTTTGGGAGGCCAAGGCCGGCGGATTCCTTGAGCCAGGGGGTTCGAGACCAGTCTGAGCAACATAGCGAAACCCCATCTCTACTAAAAATACCAAAAAAAAGTAATACAAAAAATTAGCCAGCTGTGCTTGTTGTCCTGTTACCCGTGGACGGTGTCCAAATTCTTGGCGTTTTGAACTAAGAACTGGACAAAATGCACAAAGCAAGGAAAGAGTGAAGCAATAAAAGCAGAGATTTATTGAAAACGAAAGTGTAACCACCCAATGGGTTCATCTTATCCGCTGCCTAGACATAGTCAATCTATCAAGACAGGAGACTTGCAATGGCGAAAGAATAATTCACGCAGAATGGCTGTGCAGGAGGCCAGAGTTTTATTATCGCTCAAATCAGTCTCCTTGAGCATTCAGGGATCAGAGTTTTTAAGGATAATTTGGGGGGTATGGGCTCGGAATGCGGGGAGTGTTGATTGGTCGAGTTGAAGATGAAATCACAGGGGGTAAAAGTGAGTTCTTCTTGCTGAAGTGAGTTCTTACTAGGTGGGATCTCCGGAACTAGTTGAGTCAGTATCAGTCTGAGTGGTGTCATGTTCTGCATCAGAATGCAGGGTCTGCAAAATATCTCAAGCATTGATCTTAGGTTTTGCAACAGTGATGTTATTCGAAGAGCAATTTGGGGAGTTTCAGACTCTTGCAGCCAGAGGCTGTATGGCCCCTAAAATGTAATTTCTAATCTTGTACCTAATTTGTTAGTCCTACAAAGGCAGACTGGTCCCCAGGCAAGAAGGGGAAAGAGGTATTACCAATTTTGTTTCAGAGTTTATAAATTCCAAAGCTAGTTTGGCCTATACCCAGGAATGACGAAAGACATTTTAGAGGTTAGGAGAAGATAGGGTAGGTCTGATCTATTTCACTGTCATAATTTCCTCAGTTATGATCTTTGCAGAGTCTGCAGGCCTGAGCAAGCAGCTCAAGAACTTGGTTACAGAATTTTCTGGGGTTTAAATACCGTTTAGAGGTTTCCCATTGGTCATTTGGTGTACACCCCGTGCAAATGAAGTAGTGGCCCATGATCAGTCTGATCGGTTGCATAAAGCGACCAATGAGAGGCTGAAGTTACAAAATTATACTCCTATACAAATGAAAACTTGGCCTGCCACCAGCCTTATTGGTTGCAGGCAGGGACTGAGCAGGGACAGGTGATATGTCACTCAGATTCCCTCTTTCAGAACTGAGACACTCATTCTTAGCTGCTGGGAGTATTGGTTGCTGATGGCTCACAGCTGAGTCTCTCCCCAGAAACTGCCCTCTGTTGAAGTAAGTTGCCTTGCCTAAGGTTATACTCACTTCCCAGGGGCATCCATCAATGATTGCTCAATGCAGTTCCAAGGGCCTGGCTTCCTTGCTTTGTTTCAGGACATCTCTAAAGGACCAACTCTGCTTCAGAACTGTCTGTGGGGTTGACTGAAGCCTCTATGGAAACTTCTCCCCCTCTCTCCAAATCTGATTTCCTCACTCCTTTGCAGGTGTTGTTCCCAGAAGCAACTTTTGCTTCTGGGAACAACACCTGCAAACAAATCTCAATCTCGGAGCCATTTCCCAGGGAACACTGGGAAGAATTCTAAGGTGGTGCCCATGATGTTTGCCCTCTAGTGTTCATATCTTTTTTTTTTTTTTTATTTGAGACGGAGTCCCTCTGTCACCAGACTGGAGTTCAGTGGTGCCATCTCGGCTCACTGTAACCTCCAACTCCCGGGTTCAAGCAATTCTCCTGCCTCAGCCTCCCAAGTAGCTGGGACTACAGGTGTGCACTACCACGCCCAGCTAATTTCTGTATTTTTAGTAGAGATGGGGTTTCACCATGCTGACCATGATAATCTCAATCTCTTGACCTCATGATCCACCCGCCTCAGCCACCCAAAATGCTGGGATTATAGGCATGAGCCACTGTGCCCAGCCGTGTTCACATCTTTATCTATTTCCCTCCCCTTGAATGTGAGCTGGACCTATGACTGGCTTCTAACCAATAGAATGTGGCAAAAATGATGAGATATAACTCCCATTATTAGATTATGATGTTGATACGAGATTCCATCTTGCTAGTTTGCTCTAGAGAGACTCCCTTGCTGGCTTTTTGTTGTTGTTGTTTTGGAGACAGAGTCTAGCTCGGCTCACTGCGACCTCCACCTCCCTGGTTCAAGCAATTCTCTGCCTCAGTCTTCCGAGTACCTGGGATTACAAGTGCCCACCACCACGCCTGGCTAATTTTTGTATTTTTAGTAGAGTCAGGGTTTCACCATCTTGGCCAGGCTGGTCTTGAACTCCTGACTTCATGATCCACCTGCCTCAGCATCCCAATTTTTTTTTTTTTTTGAGACAGAGTCTGACTCTGTTACCCAGACTGGAGTGCAGTGGTGTAATCTCAGCTCATTGCAACCTCCGCCTCCCGGTTCAAGTGATTCTCCTGCCTCAGCCTCCCAAGCAGCTGGGATTACCAGCCCACATCACCATGCCCGGCTAATTTTTGTATTTTTAGTAGAGATGGAGTGTCGCCATGTTGGCCTGGCTGGTCTCAAACTCCTGACCGCGAGGGATTCATCCGCCTCAGCCTCTTAAAGTGCTGGTATTACAGGTCTACGTCACCACTCCAGGCCCAATGTTATTTCTTTTTTCTTTTTTTTTTTTTCTTGCATTTTAGGTTTGGGGGTACATGTACAGAACATGCAAGACAGTTGCATAGGTACACACATGGCAGTGTGTTTTGCTTCCTTTCTCCCCTTCACCCACATTTGGCATTTCTCCCCAGGCTATCCCTCCCCATCTCCCCCTCCCACTGGCCCTCCCCTTTTCCCCCCAATAGACCCCAGTGTTTAATACTACCCTCCCTGTGTCCATGTGTTCTCATTTTTCATCACCCGCCTGTGAGTGAGAATATGCGGTGTTTCATTTTCTGTTCTTGTGTCAGTTTGCTGAGAATGATGTTCTCCAGATTCATCCATGTCCCTACAAACGACACAAACTCATCATTTCTGATTGCTTCATAATATTCCATAGTGTGTATGTGCCACATTTTCCCAATCCAGTCTATCATCAATGGGCATTTGGGTTGATTCCAGGTCTTTGCTATTGTAAACAGTGCTGGAATGAACATTCATGTGCATGTGTCCTTATAGTAGAACGATTTATAGTCCTTTGGATATATACCCAGTAATGGTATTGCTGGGTCAAATGGAATGTCTATTTCTAAGGCCTTGAGGAATCGCCACACTGTCTTCCACAATGGTTGAACTAATTTACACTCCCACCAACAGTGTAAAAGTGTTCCTTTTTCTCCACATCCTCTCCAGCATCTGTTGTCTCCAGATTTTTTAATGATCGCCATTCTAACTGGCGTGAGATGGTATCTCAATGTGGTTTTGATTTGCATCTCTCTGATGACCAGTGACGATGAGCATTTTTTCATATGATTGTTGGCCTCATATATGTCTTCTTTCGTAAAGTGTCTGTTCATATCCTTTGCCCATTTTTGAATGGGCTTGTTTGTTTTTTTCCTGTAAATCTGTTTGAGTTCTTTGTAAATTCTGGATATCAGCCCTTTGTCAGATGGGTAAACTGCAAAAATTTTTTCCCATTCTGTTGGTTGCTGATTCACTCTAGAGACTGTTTCTTTTGCCGTGCAGAAGCTGTGGAGTTTGATTAGGTCCCATTTGTCTATTTTGGCCTTTGCTGCCAATGCTTTTGGTGTTTTCTTCATGAAGTCCTTGCCTACTCCTATGTCTTGGATGGTTTTGCCTAGATTTTCCTCTAGGGTTTTTATGGTGCCAGGTCTTATGTTTAAGTCTTTAATCCATCTGGAGTTAATTTTGGTGTAAGGTGTCAGGAAGGGGTCCAGTTTCTGCTTTCTGCACATGGCTAGCCAGTTTTCCCAACACCATTTGTTGAACAGGGAATCCTTTCCCCATTGCTTGTTTTTGTCAGGTTTATCAAAGATTGTATGGTTGTAGATATGTTGTGTTGCCTCCGATGCCTCTGTTCTGTTCGATTGGTCTACATCTCTGTTTTGGGACCAGTACCATGCCGTTTTGATTACTGTAGCCTTGTAGTATAGTTTGAAATCCGGTAGTGTGATGCCCCCCGCTGTGTTCTTTTTGCTTAGAATTGACTTGGCTATGCGGGCTCTCTTTTGGTTCCATATGAAGTTCATGGTGGTTTTTTCCAGTTCGGTGAAGAAAGTCAATGGTAGCTTGATGGGGATAGCATTGATTCTGTAAATTACTTTGGGCAGTATAGCCATTTTCACGGTATTAATTCTTCCTAACCATGAACATGGAATGTTTCTCCATCTGTCTGTGTCCTCTCTGATTTCGTTGAGCAGTGGTTTGTAGTTCTCCTTGAAGAGGTCCCTTACGTTCCTTGTGAGTTGTATTCCAAGGTATTTTATTCTTTTTGTAGCAATTGCGAATGGCAGTTCGTTCTTGATTTGGCTGTCTTTAAGTCTGTTATTGGTGTAGAGGAAGGCTTGTGATTTTTGCACATTGATTTTATATCCTGAGACTTCGCTGAAGTTGCTTATCAGTTTCAGGAGTTTTTGGGCTGAGGCGATGGGGTCTTCTAGGTATACTATCATGTCGTCTGCAAATAGAGACAATTTGGCTTCCACCTTTCCAATTTGAATACCCTTTATTTCTTTTTCTTGCCTGATTGCTGTGGCTAGAACTTCCAGTACTATATTGAATAGGAGTGGTGACAGAGGGCATCCTTGTCTAGTGCCGGATTTCAAAGGGAATCCATTCAGTTTTTGCCCATTCAGTGTGA